CGCCGTACCGCTCCTCAGCCAGCCCTCGAGGCGAGCGGGGCGGAACCCGGAGCCGCTTAACGGCCTGCGCTGCAGTCAGAGCCGCCTCGCGCCCCGCCCGGGCCGAGCGGGCCGAAGGGGCCCCGGGGGCCCGCGCGGGGAAACGTGGCCCCCCAGTTAACCTGCTCCTCGTGGACAGCCTCCTTCCGTGTGGGGTGAAAGGCCGGCCCGCCCCGCGGGCCCGCGGGGACCCGCCGGGGGGGGGGCGGGGGGGCGGCCCTGGTCCACCCCCAAATTATGGGGGGGGCGTGGGGGCTTGGGCAGAGGCCCCTCGGCCGGACCAACCGAGCCGGCGGGCCTCCTGGGGGGGGGCGGGGGTCCCGCCCCGACGGCGGCCGCCCGGGAGCGCCCCTGGGGGGGGTGGTACGGGGGTCCCGCGGGTGGGGGTGCCCGCGGGAGGCCCCGAGGGCAGGCCCGAAGTGGGTGGGGGGGCCTGGAAAGCGGAGGCGCTGGGCCGGGGGGGTGGCGGCCTGGGGACGGGGGCCCCGGCCACCGGGGGAGGCCGGCGGAAGCCAGAAGTGGGAAGCCTGGGGAGCGAGTCCCCGGGGATTTCCCGAAGGGACCCCCTCGGGAACAAGGGGGAGCTGGAAGACCCTCCAAGGCGGGTTTCCCCGGGGGGAGTTTTGCGGGGTCGGAAGTAGGCGGCCAACCCCCGCCACCGGGTGTGGTGACCGAAGTGGGAGGGGGGAAGTTGAAACGCTTTTTCCGACTTTAGTTTTTCCAAGCCTGGGAAAACGTTGTTAAGGGGCGGGTGGCGGGGCGCAGAGGGGGCGGCTGCCGGGTGGGTGCGCCAAAAAAACAAGGGCTGGAAAAGCGCCGGGAATCGCTTCGACCCTTTCTGCCCGAGTGGGTATGCACACACATACGCACACCCCGTGTCACCGCTTGGCCGCTGGTGAGAGGGCCGAGGCCAATGCCGACCCCCAGCAGTGGGACCTCAGCGCTGCCCTGCTGTGAAGGGAGGCGACTGCACACTCTTTAAGGAGTGATGAGGGACGCCCCCGCGTCGTGTTTACTTTCAAGTTGCATTCCTAGGTGTCCACGCAAAACACGGGCGCGCGCGCACGCACCCCGGCCGGATTCCACCTGAACACCCCATCTGTGGCCAAGGCCAGACAGAACTCAGCGGGCCGGTGAAGGGGCCGGTGGGGTCCACTGGGCTCTATAGTTAAGTCCATGTTTTCCCTCTGCTCCTAACACTGGGCACCAGGATAGAGCTGGGACGCTGAGGAGTTCTATATGGCAACCTCAGGCCCACGGTCCTGACGCCGGGGTGGGTGGGTTTCGAGAGGTCTCCACCTTTGCCTGGCAGCCAATCCTGCTATAGATGGCCGCACTTTCTCAAATGATACACTCCAAGTCGTGCGCCCGCCCGTACACACGAGCAGACACAGTTTTAAATTCATCAGCAGGAATAAAGCCTGGGAGAAAAGGACAAGAGGACAAACAAGTTGCACGTGTTTAACTGTTTTTATCTCTAAGAATCTTTGACAAATAAAGCACCAAGAGGAAAAAAGTTTACTAGCAGCACAGCAGCTTACATACTAGGGCTCAACAAATATAGAGGGACACTGGACTATTATGGTCATAGAAACATGACCAAGGAGTATTACGTTCTGACACCTTCTTTACTTTGTCTTATTCCTAGTCTAAAAGCATTTATTGCTAAGCAAAAAAAAAAAGAGAGAGAAAGAGAGAAAATCAAATTATTTTTAGTTGTTTACTTATTTTTTTTTAAGATATGATATCTCACTATGTTACCCAGGCTGATCTGTAACTCCTGGGCTCAAAGAATCCTTCTGCCCCAGCCCCTGAATAGCTGGGACTACAGGCACTCTCCACCCACCTGGCTATTTTTATTACTTAATTTATCACATCCAATCAGCCAAGGTGCCTACTTCTCCTGTAGGAATGGTGCCTTGGTACAAACTCTTATGCAGCCATGAGGAAATGAAGGGAGATGTTCCTTCCTGCCCTCCTGGTGGTTGAGACAGAGTCCCCTTTTGTCCATGGACAGTGGTAGGGAGGTGTTCTTGTCTGGATAGACACAGGGTATAGATTGACCTGGCATATATGTTCTCATAGAAATCCATACTAATTCTACATTTTGGCTTAGAAACCTCAGAACCTTGTCTTAAACCTCCAAAATTACTTAAGAGGAATTGAAAGACTTCATGCCTCTACGCTGAGCATGCAAGTGAGGAAATGAGAGAGCTGGAAAAGAAATTGTACTTCTGCCAAGGGGGCAGCCAGAAGATGGATCTCCTATTCCTGGAGAAAGAAAAACTTCCTGGTTTTTCTCTTGCTTTGCTCCCATAGAACCTCGCTTTATGGATTTTCCCAGACTAGTTCCTTATGTGACACCTTGGCTACAACCAGACAGTCTCAGGATAGGTTGCTACAGTCATTGACTAGGGTTATATACCCTGGGAATGTTCTGGATACTCTTTTCAGTTGTGAAGAGTGAAACCGTTGTTTATTAGATTCCATTTCAAAGCTTAAGGGTAAGCATTCCCAGGAAATATGGAACATTAACTATTAATATTTGTCTTTGGGTAATGCTGAGGCAGTGGAGGGAATACCAGCCTGAGGCAGGGCTCCTGGATTTGAACCCCAGATCTGTGCCTGAGACCTTCCAACAACCTAACCAGCTTCCAAACATACACAGCAGACGTTTCACTTTCCGAGACCTTTCCCACTTCTACGAGCCAGTGAATGATCCATTTGGCAGCTTTGCCTGGTTGGATTCTACAACCAGGGTGGCATCAGGAAGAGAAAAGATCAGATGCAGAGAATGGAGATCATATCAAGAGTCCGAAAGGCCTGTGTTTTCTTTCCTTCTTCATTCCCCAGTCTGCCAAACAAAAAGCTTTTTATCGCCAGTTTCGCCACCTACTGGTTGATGTTTAACAGCATTATTCAGAAAGTTCTCTTTATCCATCGTCAATATGCATGTTCCCTAAGTTTATGAAATTCTATATAACAGTGTTCTAATCTGAGCATACAGTTTAATATAGGTATGTATCAAATTGTTCCAACTATTAAAATCTTTATTTAAAATGAGGGTACAAAGAGATCATTGACTGAGAAGGAGTTGGTAACGGATAGGGCAGATGAAAGAGTTAAAAATATAAAACATGATCACAAACCATTTATTTTAGGTTAAAAATATAAACCATGACTTCAAATGGAAGCAGAAATAAATCCATAAACAAAATGAACTGACTACAGAGAGTAAAAACAAGTAGTCCGTATAACTTACATAAAAGAAAAATGTGAACTGCTTAAAAAATAACATCTCACAAGGCTTAAATAAGCAATCCAAAATGCTAGTTTCCAATTTCAAGTCCCTTCTACATGGTGGACTCTTCTGTTGAATAGTGCCACGCTCTCTCAAATGGTTTGAATACGATGTAGACAAGCATTATATAAGGCCCAAGTGCACTGTTCCCAATTCATTTGTGCTTCAGAATCCATCTTCTGCTGTAAGTGATCACATCCAAGTTGTCAGCTCTCAGATCATTCTTGTCATAATCAGGAAACTCTTTTTATCAAATGTAAACCAAAAAGCTT